TACTCATCTGCCTGGGTTTTAAGCTTCCTCTCCCAAAGTTTCTGATGGTCTGAGAATCCCTGCTTTCCTTTGTTAAAGGAATTGGGTCCAGCAGATGTGGGTGTTTCTCTGAAAATCAAAATAACACATGACGATGTAGTAAACAGTGCTGTATAGTACTTTAACTTACAATTAAATCTAAAATTGAAAGTTTTAAAAATGTATAAATCCAACCTGCCAATATTCTTCATTCTCATCTTTGCCTCGGGTGGCATTTCTTCAGGCTCGCTCTGAAAAGTAAAATAAAAAAAGGTTAGGAAAGGAAACTGGGCCCGTATTCACAAAACATCGTAAGGCTAAAAGTAGCTTGTAACTCACCGATTTAGGAGAAAATCTTAAAAATAATGGGTGTGTCAGTCCTAAATTTAGTACTCCTACATTTTTGCTCTAAAAGTATTTCACAAAGCATTTTAGCTCTAAAACTAGCTCCTAAATCTGTGTAACATTAGGAGTAGGGAAGAGGAATCCCAAGTAAGACCAAACCACAAACTATTCCTAAAATGGCTGTTGCCAGCAATCTGCCTCAGAACGTAAACATTTTTGAAATATTTGATGATAATGAGCTTTTATAAAGGTATCGCCTTCGGTTTTAAAGGTTATCCCAAATCCAAATTTTCCTTTGATTATATCTTTGTTTTCATTAACCAGTTGGGCAAGAAGTAACAGCTGTTCTTGCCTCCAATTTGGTTTTCTTTTACGTTTGCATGTCTTACTATCAGCCATGATTATTCTACTCGGTTTATTAAAGGGCTGTTTATATGCATATTCACTAATTATGAGAAGCATACATGTAAGAGGCTGACAATTACCTGAACATATACGTGTTTAATTAGTAACACTAAGCCTGCATTTTAAAATCTTTATTTGAATGTGGCAACATTTGAATTTTTAAACATTTATCTTTACTCTAAAATATTTCTATGAATAAATCTCTGACAGAGACTATCAGCCAATCACTGCATGCATAGTTAGTAAGCATACCGACATCATCCATAGCAACGAGGTCAACCCCACCCTTAATCTTAGCTTCAGACTTCTCTCTATTCCTTAGTAAAAGTTTGTCTCAGCAGCTTTGTGAATTGGTTTTAAGAGAAAACTCTTAGCTAATACTGCTAACTGCTATTTAGGAGAACTCTTAGTGGTAAGATAAAATGTTTTGTGAATACGGGCCCTGAACATATAGGGTTTGAGCGCTGTTGAGCCAATTCTTAAAATCAACGTTTTTAAAATTTCAGTACCGACTAGTACCCAAGTAGGTCCTTTTGACAACACTTATATTGAATTATATATTACTACAATATGGTAAATATCACAAGGACAGCATTAATATTAAATTAATAAATTAGAGAATGATACTTACATCATCATCCTCATTAAAAACAGATGCAAGTCCAGCTTTCTTGGCAGGTAAGGCAGGTGTGGGTTCTTTAGGTTTCTAAAAGAGAAGAAGCAATAAAATGCAATATTTAAATGTTCAAAATTAAAAACTCAAACAAGCATTATTTTTAGTTCAGTAGATCAGAGATCAGTAGTATATAGACCAAGAAACACACACACACACACACACACACACACACACAGGCTATATAATAAAATATACATACACTTGCTCCCAGCTTGATAGTGATTGGTGTAGGCTTCTTCGCAGTCATGCTAAACCCCAGTTTAGATATTTTAGATGGTGCTGGCTTGCTTTTAGACTCATCTTCGAGGCCAATCTCATCAGCAGACCGCTTTCGCAGACTGTCCCCTGATGCCGTGCTGGAAGAGACAGTCTTAGTTTTCACACTGTCTCCCTTCTCTTCCGGTCCTGCTGGAGGCGAAACAACTTACCAAGGGGAGCGACTGTTGGCTTGGAGACCAAAGGTGAGCTACAGTTACCTGAAAGACGAGGGATGCCAGGAGGACCTGCTCAGAGAGATGCTGTTGAGCTTAAAATCTAATTGATTAGTTTGATTCATTTGATTAGCACTAACTGTCTTTAAATAGCCCTTAACTGACACATCAATAAAGCCACTTGAAATACATCTGGCTGCTTTCAGCAACACGTTGAAGCTGAGATGTGCCACTGTCTATAATTACAAACATTAATATGGCAATACCATGGTATCAGATGGTAATACCATAGTACTTTACCATGATACTGAATTATCACCATAACACCTATTTAGTTTACATGGTACACCATGGTAGATTCACCACACCATAGTACTTTTAACAGTATTATTGTAAGGGAGTGTAGGTATTTCCAAATAAACCACAATGATAGCATAAAACGGTCATTTGCCTGGTACTTAATTAATGTGCCATAGTATTTGCATGGTACACCAATGCACTTCCAAAAATGACTAATATGTATATTAGTGGTACTACGGTACGTTTATATATTAGTTTATAGATCAAAGCTTTACCAAGTAAACGTTTGTTGAACTTATAATATGCAACAAACTTACACATTTAGTCTTGTTATTTTAAATCCAACATTAGTGTTAAATATTACGCATCTACATAGAAAACACTGAACTGAGGAAAAAACAGCTCGTTACCGGCTAACGTAGCTAGCTTGCTAAACTTAGTTAGCTAGAAAGTCCAAATGTATGGCTAGCTTTACTTTAAACCTACATTCACAAATACAAGCATTACAGTTATTCTCGAAGACTTTCAATTGTAAATTAACTGTAAAACAAAAAGTTTTGTCAATTTCACCTCCTTCTTTAGAAGGGCCTTCGCTGCAGCACTTCGCACTCGCCATCGTAAGAATCTGTTTTCAGCGGGTACGGCTACCGGATAGGACAAAATACCTCTGCAGCAGCGCAAAAAAAAACCCTATCTCTCCTGTTCTTCCGCTTACGAACACCATTCGACGGGAGGAGAAATAACGCTATCTAGCGTACAGACTGAGTAAACGACCCTAAATAATTGGGCTTGTCACTACTTGTCTACATTGGCTAGATGACACAACCCCTCAAAGTAAAGGTTTTAGGTTAAAAAAACTGAAATATGGGCGATAGGTTGAATGAAAGTAAAAAAGAATCTATCTATCTATCTATCTATCTATCTATCTATCTATCTATCTATCTATCTATCTATCTATCAATCCTGCTTTTTTACTTTTTAAGTGGTTAATAAAATGTTGACACATTAAAGACAGATATAGCACTGTAAACAACATTGAAAACAAAGGAAGAAATATGTCAATGTTTTAAAATCATTTTTACTCAATGTTTTTCATGTTTGTATTTATTTATTATGGGCCTATTCATTTTGTCCCCCCATTTATTATTTGTATTTATTTTTTAATTATTAATTAAGTTATTTAATTTTTTTTGTAAATGTAGCATACAGTATTTCATATTGTTTCGGTGAAAAGTGTTTGCACATAGTTTGAACATAATTAAATCCCATTTAAATAATCAACATTTTGGTTACACTTTACAATGAGATCCCATTAATTAGCATCAGTTAATGCACTAACCTAAATCAACTAACACTGAGCAACATTTGTTTATTTTCTTGTTTGTTGGTTGGTTTTTAATTATTTATTCATTTTTCTTAACATTAGTTAACACAAATACAACTTTTTGCTAGTTCATGTATTAAATATTAACTTTAATAATGCATTAATAAATGCTGAAATTAACTGCATATGCAACTCAGATTCTCTATATTAATGTCCAGCTGTATTCATTTATAAAAAATATTGATGTGTTGCTGTACATTTCCTTACACAACTTACCAGCATATACAGTTTCAGACAGACTGCATCCAGCATGGGTGAATTTGACCTCCGACATAAGGTAAGCAAAATCTTTTTAAAGATACACATGCATCAGCATTTTATGTTTATTTTTGGACTTTTGTCAGTGATCTGCAAATGATGTAAGCTGATTTTAAACTTGCATCACCCATATAGTTGTCTCTTATGTAGTATCTTACCAGATACTTTTGTGTTTCATGTTACGACCAAATTCATTAGCGTACAAAAAAACAACTCTGTGTACTTTTGGAAAAAAATTATTGTGAAATGACTGTGTGAAAATTGGGATGGGGGAAACTGGCAGCCTGGCCACAGCAGTGTCATGTGCCTTTAACACACAGCTAGCGGTGCTGTTGTAACCCCGGATGGGTGGAGAAAGAAGAAACCAACCCTCACTTCATGAGTGGCCTTTTCTTTCTTCCCCGGTCTCCAGCCGACTGTGGACGGCCGCCCCGGGCGGAACAAGAAGGCAAGGAGGGTCAACTGCATGAAAGGACGATGTAACTTCCAAAAAAAAAAAAAAAGTGGGCGAGAGGGTAGAAAACAAATAAAGGGGAAAAAACTGAATGGTTTAGAAGTGACATCCCATAGTCCTTTTTATTGATTGGTCTTCAAAACAGAATGGATGTCCTGACACCATGGGGTCTGCAGATATAGTTCAGCCTTCTTCACCACTCTCTCAGCGGACAGCCTCTTACACGGACAGGATGTGCTTGACGAAAGCTGTAAGAGGAGAAGCAGACACGCATAAGGAATGATCATCTCTACTGGCTCGCCATACAAGGCCTGAGGTGGCTGCTAAAAATAATGGACGGGATGATTCAGTGACAGGTGAGCTTATTATATCATTTTAATTAGTGCCGAAAAGACAGTACAGTCACTGTTATGCAATGTGTCCTAAAAGAAGCTAGAAGGGTTCAATCGGAGCATACCCTCATAGTGGACACTGCCGTTCTCATCCTCCTGTCCCTGCATGAGAGACTCGATCTCGGGCTCGGACATCTTCTCACCTGTTGGTGCCATGAAATGTATTGGTTAGGAATAATTTATTTCCGATACTTTTTGCTTAATAAAAAGTACCGCAGTATTATATGCTATTTTGGACATGCACCATGGTCATGCCAGAGTACCTATCTATATAAATATGGTAATAATTCAGTATTCTTAATAAAATTCATATATTCATCATTCATAACTATAATCAATCAATAATTTATTTAAATAAATAAATGCATTATGTATTTTATAAATTACAAATATATTTTGGCCATGTATCATGGTAGTGCCATACTATTTTTTAAAGAAATTAATCCTTTTATTTAGCAAGGACACATTCATTTCATAGATAGATAGATAGATAGATAATGTTACAAAAGATTTTCAAATAAATGCTGTTCTTTTGAACTCACTGAACTTGAATCAAACAATCCTGAAAACTGCATCATGGTTTCCACAAAAATATTAAGCAGCACAACTGTTTTCAACACTGATAATAATAAGAAATCAGCATATTAGAATGATTTTTGAAGAATCATGTGATGCTATAGACTGGAGTAACAATGCTGATATTTCAGATTTACATCACAGCAATAAATTACATTTTAAAATACATCATGAATGAATATAATTACATACAAATGTAAAATATATACAAATATTTCATTAAATAAATGCAGCCTTTGTGAGCATAAGTGACTTCTTTAAAAAAAACAGTAAATCACAATACCATGATATTACCATTTGATCACTGTGCCAAGATATAATCATTTGTTTTGTAAGCAGAGTATATTATGCAATTTACTTTCCCATGCATGGTGTGAACTACATAATAATTTCATCTTCACTCACCCAGTGTTGAGAGCACAATGCGCAGCTCAGCACCCATCACTGTGCCGTTGCCCTCTTTGTCAAAGACGCGCAGACCCTCAACGTAGTCATCATAGGTACCCTTCTGGTTGGCGTCAACGGTCTTCAGCATTGGCAGGAAACCATCAAAGTCAAGTCTTTTGTTGGCCATATCTGTGTGCATATAGTTCCACATATACATCACAAATCAGTAAGGGCTTGTAAAGCATTTAGAATTACGCCTGTTCCTGTTTAATATAATGTTTAATATCTTACCGTCAGCAGATGGGTCACCCAGGAGTTTCTTCACGTCTTTGTTGGTGGGGTTCTGTCCCAGGGCACGCATGATGTCAGCAACCTGGTTGTAGGCAACCTTGCTGTCACCAACTCTGTCGAAGAGACCAAAGGACTCTTTGAAGTCTGTAACAGAAGGACAACAGAAGGTTATCTGGAAGTAGATTTTAAGGGTGGATCATAATGTCATCATTTGAACTAATGTACAAAATAGAAATGCATAAAACAGCAATTTATCTCACAACATAGCACCAGACAAAAATAAATTACAAATTTTATTTTATTTGATTATTTTACAACAGTTTAGGGACATCATTGCTTTAAAATTAGGTAAAGTCGAGGAAACTTAGTATCTTAGCAGTGCCTCCTCTCCCACATCTCTCCTTTGCCAACTGTACATGCAGCAGAGGAGGAAGGAAGCCAATTTAAAAAGAGCGTAGCAACTGCATTTCCATGGGCTGTGAGGGAGACCAAGTTGAAAGTGATCTGCTGACAGAAAAATAGCATCCTATGACTTCTGTACTCCAGCAGCTGTGCACGAAGGTGGCACTTAATGCGTGACGTGACAGGCGATACCCTCAGAGAAAGTAGCCTTTGCCATACATGGTTACGGTGCTTTACGACTGACCCAAGTCAAATAGCGGGAGGGCTAATAAATGCAAATACATTTTTAACCTCTTATTCATCCACAAAAATGTCTTTATATATTTAAAAGCTTCCCAAGTTATTATTTAGGACATTTAGGACCAATTTCAACTTCATTTTAAGTTATACTTTTTTTTTGTTTTTTTTAAGTCTGGTGCTATGTTGTGATTTTTTTCTACATCAATTTAACTAATTAAGTTCAAATGACTTGTACCGCCAATTTGATTTTACTTCAAAATTTAAGGAAGCAACTGAACTTGAGTTGAAGTAGTTTTTTTTTTTTTACAGAGGAATTGCCCTTCACGAATACATGACATCATACATTTCCAACATCCACATTACATTGGTAACAATAAGTACTATAGTCATACAACCATTTCCAAATCATAATAAACTCTGATGTGTGAAGACTCACCCTCAATCTGGTCAGCAGAGAATTCTCCAGCCTGCCAGAAAGACAACAATGGATCAATCCCACTGGCAAACCTGCCAACATCTCACAACACACACTATAGTCTGATATAAGGAATTATTTTAAAAGACAGTAGGTAACATAAGCCCTTTTTTGGACATGAGCAAAACAACAGCTTGGAAAGTGCACATATATCCAGCAGGGGAACAAACCAGCTGCATGATTTTCTCTTTAACAGTGACAAACAAACTGGGGCTCTTTATATGACACCGCTGTGTCTTGCCCCACCAAAGTCAATTTGAAAACCGAAGAAAGGTGTCCTACTTCATTTGAGTGGGCTTATTGTCAGTTTTTGAGCCAGACGAACATGAAAAAGGTACGATAAAATAGCAAGAGTAATCCAAGTACACACCATGATGGAGTTTTGGGGTGCAGGAGCGGAGGGGCAGAAGTCAAGAAGCCGGAGTCCTAGGAGAGTGGTCCTGAGCCATGGAGCAGCTCCTTCTTATTCATGCTATGCTAATGATGTCACGGGGCGGATCCTGCGATGCCGTGGAACTTCTTTAACTTTCTTAGGTCAAGCTGGAAGGAAGGCTGCTGCTTTCTCCAATGTACATGCGCGGCGGTATTTTTAGACTATGCTCCAGGCTGCTTGTAAGACCCCTTGGCTTCGGTCAGCACTTTAATTTGATGTATTGTGTCTTTACATAATTTCTGAATATTTTTTATCCTTAGTCAGGGATGATTGAATGTAAATCCTGTTATGCCGACACAACATCTCAAGAAGGCTTTTGATTACAATGTTGATATTTTTAACTTGCATATGGAAGTCTCGGCCACTTATGGTTAGATGGGAAGCCGGGGAGAACAGTCCTTAAAGCTTATTTTGGCTTATATTAAATGGCCGCATTTCTTTCTCATAATATATGACATTGTCCATGTTAAAAACAGTGTTTTTATTAAAACAAGGGTTAATAAAATACAATTTTTATATTTTCTTTTTGAAACTGATCGGCTGTAGACTAATGAAGTGCATGCGCTCAGATCAGTGAGGCCTATGACCAATTTTCTAACTGAAAGGAAACAAGTTGACAAAAAGATTGAATCCAACAATATAGAATAATAATGAGAGATTTTTGTAAGTCGATCATTTTTGACTGGAAACACTACAAGTGTAAAAAGGTGGGAAAAATCCTCAAAAGGTACAAAAATTAACTCTTTTTTGGAAAGTTGTTATACCTTGTGTGGGCAAATCAGTAACTTTTAGGCCAGTGACAAATAACATTAACTAGCATTTTCAGGAAAAGAAAATCCTCTGGGTCAAAGTGACCAGAACACAACACGAGGGTTAAATGTCACATTACAAATAAGAGGTCTGCTACTCGCTATGGAAATGTCCTGGTGAAACAGCTACAACTAACCAGTGCAGTTAGCAGATCAGTCATTACAGTGGTGCTCTGTGTTTTTCATTAGAGTTATGTTGTCAACACTTTTCAGCCGGGATTGTAGCACCACAGTGCATGCATTACAGTCTTTCTTGTGACAAGCTCCTTAACATTTTTGCTAATCCTCATCTTCATTTCATTCTATACTTTCACATGTGATATGCTGTGCTTATGCTGCGATGTTTCCTCCGAAGACACATAACACATATACAGAGCGATCATATGGTTTTAGAAGATCTGTGTTGTGCATCATTTGGGCTGTACATGGACTACATTTAGTTATATAAATGAACAGCTAAATAAATGCATCATTATCCACACACCAGCTTATGCAACACAAGGCATTGATGAGGCAATTGATGAGGCTGCCTTGGCCCCCCAAACTTTTTGAAAACACTATTAACAATAAAAAACTTTTAAAAAAGTGGTAAGAGCAAAGAGCAGAGAGAAAAAAAAGAGTAGAAAAGAAAAAGAGTAGAACTAAAATAAAAGTTGGAATATTTTGTTCAAAAACATGCATAATGTTCAAAAGGACGTACAAAGATTTTTATTTATTTATTTTTAAGAAGTCTCGTAAGGCTGCATTTATTTAATGAAAATACAACAATTAATCAGTAATATTGTAAATATTATTAGAATTTAAAACACCTGTGTTCTATTTTAATACATTTTAAAATGTAATTTATTTCTGGGATGCAAAGCTGAGTTTTCAGCATCATTACTCCAGCCTTCAGTGTCACATGATCCTTTAGAAATCATTCTAATATGCTGATTTGCTGCCCAAGAAACATTTCTTATTATCAATTATCAATATTTTGTGGAAACCATGAGATTTTTGTTTATTAGGATACTTTGAAAAAATAACACTTCTTTCAAAAGAACAGCATTAATTTGAAATAGAACTTTTTGAAAAGTGAAAGTGACGTGACATGTGGCCAAGTATGGTGACCCATACTTGGAATTAGTGCTCTGCATTTAAACCATTCAAAGTGCACACACACAGCAGTGAACACACACCCGGAGCAGTGGGTAGCCATTTTTGCTGCGGTGTCCGGGGAGCAGTTGGGGGTTCGGTGCCTTGCTCAAGGGCACCTCAGTCGTGGTATTGAAGGTGGGAGAAAGCGCTGTTTCACTCCCCCTACCTACAATCCCTGCCTGTACGAGACCTTTGGGTTACGAGTCCGACTCTCTAACCATTAGGCCACGACTTCCCCATTGTAACAACATAAAAGTCTTTACCGTCACTTTTGATCAATTTAATGTGCCGTTCCTGAATAAAAGTGTTAATTGAAATAAATAAATCTTAATAACCTTAAAATTTTGAACAACAGTCACAATAATTTTTGCAATCTGGCCCATATCATAATAGTGCAGTATTTTTATTTTTTTTTATTATCTGTCCTTCAGTCAGTTAGACGTGTTACTACAAACTAGCAGCCAACGCAGAGACATTCCAGTCCTGCCCTGAGACCTTGACTCTTCCCTCTGAATGCTGCAGAAGCCATGGAGCTGAAGACCTCGCCCCTGGGCAGATGAGCTCTATATTTAGCCGTTCTTTTAGGAGGTGTAGAGTTTCTCTGAGAGGGTCGGTAGCACCTCAAGGGTGGTTGGCACATCTTAGCCCTTTACACCCCCACATCCAACCGAGCGAGCAAACTCCAGATCGTAAAGCGGCTGCTCAGGTTACACTGCTCTCTTCTGTCATGGGATCAGTCCCTCAGATCTCTGGGACTGCCAGTGCAATAACACCCCACATACAGCGAGACTGATCTCAATCAGCTAGAAGCAACACTGAGGTGATCAGCGTTTAAAAAAAGCTGTTGTATAGGCCAAGCATTGTCCATCAGCCCTTGAGAAAGTATGAGCCTTATTTGGATTTGCATGAGGGTATCAAGTGAGAGTAAATGACTCTTTAACTCACTCATCTTTACATGTGAAATATATAGTGGGTTCCAAAAGACAGAGATCACTTGTGAAAATGCTTCTAAGTTGCATTTTTAAATCCAATATATTTTCACATTTTTAGCAATTTTAGTGAAAACGTAATTGAGAAATTAACATTAAAATTAAAATATACCCTTTTTGATTTATTAAGCTCGAGTTGTATGAACAAAAGCTGATGATTGGACATGAAGGTCCAACATGGAAAATACAAAGTTTAAAACAAATGTTTGAAGGCTGAACAATTCTTGAAAATTGGCAAAGCAATCCTTTCAATCAATTCAAACAAACAAATGAGGCAATTCTGCATCACTCTAGTGGGATGTCCCATTTGTGAGCAGTGTTTTATTTCCTCCCTGACTTTTTTATTTTGTGATGTCAGTGATATAGAATTGATAAAAGTAAATGGGGGCTTAAGAAATACTTTCTTTGAATGTGTTGAAGGGTTTTTGCTTGTCATACGCTGCTTCTCAAAGGTTTGGGCTCAGTAATTTGCTTTTGAAAGATGTCTCTTAAGCTCACCAAGGCTGCATTTTTTTTGATCAAACATACATTAAAACATTGATTATTGTGAAATAGTATTGCAATTTAAAAGAACCGTTTTCTGTTTTTAAATTGTATTTATTCCTGTGACAGCAAAGGTAAATATTCAGCAGCCATTACTCCAGTTTTCAGTGTCACATGATCCTTCAGAAATCAGAAGAGATCCTTGTGCAGCTTATTTTTGTGGAATATACATTAAGGATTTTTTTTTTTTTGACTAATAGAATGTTTTGATTAATAGAATAGAGCAGTATTATTCTAAATGGATTTCACCCCCCCGTAACAAACAATTTTTTTACTGTTAATTTTGATTTAACTAATCTTTGCTGAATAAAAATACTATTTTTTTCTTAAAAAAACAAAAACAAAACTACTTCATATAGAAAATTGAAAGCTTAACTCTTATGTATTACGTCATAATGTGTATATATAATACACAAGGACCTCTAGATTGAGAACCGAATTATGCTAGTCTATATTTTGGTCTGTGGATTTGACCTCCTTTCATTGCTCAGTTTGAAATAAAACAAGGCTCACATGCAGCTATAGAAAGTATAGCTAAATGAATAATCACAACTTCCCAAAGTACCAAATCATATTAAATCAGATTTATAGCTCCATCTAGAGGAAGAAATGTGTGGTAGTCACCTCCAGAAAACTTGACATTGTTAATGTGATAAGAGAATGTAAACAGACCACCTATCAGATATAACATCCTGTTTTTCTTATTTTTATTGTTGTGCAAATGAAAATGTACAAAATAATGATGATGAAAGACAAATGAAAATGCTAAAAGATTGTTCCACTACCGAAAAAAAAAAAAAAATCATTTTGGCAGCACATCCTCTGATATGACTACTATTATTATCATCAAGAGAGAAAAAAGGGAAAAATACATTACTAATACAGAAGGCAAAGCATTAATCTTACAGAAAGCATATCAACACTGTATTTTTAGTGCTACCTTAAAGCTGTAGTTCTTGTGTAATTAATTAACTCTACTTAATTCAAAAAGATGTGAAACTTTACCTTGCTGTCATGTCAGAATATATCCTCACAAATACATCGAAATAGTTTCTTTAATGAGTCATATTAATTAAAATGATACAAACAAACATGTAACGTAACAGCAGCTTCCCTTAATCTATAGTTAGCCTAGATTCCCATCCACTTTCCATTAATGGGAAAATAATATCTCCTGCGTACTGTTCTCCACATGTACAGCACCTCTCAAAAGACTTAGTGTGAATTGTGACAGATCAGCGGTATACAGACGCACATGCAGAGTGAGACAGTACTATTCCACCATTAGAGGACGAGTTCTTCTGGCTCGAGGAAGCTTAAGCGAAAAGGCTCAGTCGTCTGGAACAGTCTGGAATGAGGAAATTTGACATTAACAAGGGTTTTATTTGCATAATAATGTCTGGACAGTTAAACATTCAAAAGTAGAGGTGTAGTTACCTTTACACCTCAAAAGCAGGGAACTTGGCTCTAGTTGGTTGCAGCAAGTCAGCCAGGAAATAAATTGTGCCTGCCATCCCTTCATGCATGAGAAAATATGACAAACACGGAGGTATAGTAATATAGTGTTTCTTGAGCAGCAAATCAGCAAATTAGAACGATTTCTGAATGATCATGTGACACTTAGGACTGGAGTAATGATGCTGACAGCTTCACCATCACAGGAATTAATTACATTTATAATATATATAAAAACAGAAAACAGTTCTTTAAAATTGTAAGAATAGTTCCCAATATTACCGTTTTTACTGTATTTTCGATCTAATAAATGCAGCCATGGTGAGCTTAAGAGGCTTCTTGCATGAATATAAAAAAAAACTAAACAAAAAAAAGACTGACCCCAAACTTTTGAACAGTGGTGTACATATGCATGTGTAACATTTACTCTACCTTCAAACAGTGACAACGGTGTATCTGGAGTCCGGCAGCCATGTTTTCCATAATTCATGCACCAGTCTGCAAACTGTAGATGAGAAGACATCAAATCCCATCATGCCTCTGTACACACAACAGACAATGACAGGTCCCTCTTGTCTAATATATATATATATTATAGAACACAAGTAGAACACATATCGTAGAACACATATATATATTATAGAACCCTCTATAGAACACAACATATATTGTAAGGTTGAGAGGAGTTAGACTCACCATGCAGGCTCTGTAGAGGTGTTTGGGATCCTGGGTGATCTTGTAAAGGGCCAGGAAGCCATATGCGTTTCCAGCAGCTCCATGACAGAGGCCGTAGCCTTTCTTCAGCAAACCCCTCTGCCAGATCACCTCCCCACAGTGCAGCGCTTCCTCCAGATACTGCCTCACACCAAACACCTGGAGAGGAAATGTTATGTTTTCTTGAGGCTTCTGCATGTCTGCTCGTGTGTAATGTTGTTTACTCACACTTGATGGCACTGTAATACCAAGAGCTAAAAATAAGAGTTTCTGCTTGTTAAAAAAACAAAACAAAAAAATAACAAATAAAGAAAATAAATAAATAACATATACAAATAACATGATAATAATAGGAAATGTTTTAATTCAGTGAAGGGTTATAATAGTTGACTAATCCTAAAACCATAAAAACACACACATTCGTTACCTGAAATAAAATAAATGTTAACTGAAATTATATACATATAGTAATTATTTTATTTCAGCTAGTTGCCAAGGCAACAGTTCTCATTTTCATTTAGTTTACCTTGATTTACTAAGGTAACTAAAACTGAAAAAAAAAGACAAAAAAAACCAGATAAAAATTAGTATCTCAATTATAATAAAATAACACCAATTCAGAGACACTGAATGTAAGAAAAATATCCATATTCAAAACGTAATAATCACTTTAAAGTAGCTTGCGCTTACTGTTGTAAGCAGAAGCAGTTCCGGGGGAATGACCTCTGAGGTCAGCTTTGAGCATGCGCCTCTCAGAAGTGCAGGGGAGAGATCAAAACAAAACAACGGTCACTTAGAAGTACAAAACGAGGATTTGTAAAGAAGAATGTGTCCAAGCAATAATAAAAGAACACATTTAATTTATAATTTGTCTTAAATCTAATTTTGTTAAAAATAATAATTGTGAATCGAATCGAATCGTGAAATCAAAATCGTGAATCGAATCGAATCGTGAGTAGAGTGAATCGTTACATCCCTACTTGAGGGTGAGTAATTTATGGGCTAATTTTTCATTTTTGGGTGAACTAACCCTTTAAGGGCTCATGGAAATTCAGCTTTGTCATCACAGGAATTAATTACATTTTTAAATATATAAAATAGAAAACAGTTAAACATTGCAATAAAAGTAATTCACAATCTTACTCTTTTTACTTGATTTTTTTTTATCAAATAAATGTAGTCTTGGTGAGCATAAGTGTCTTCTTTCAAAAACTAAAAAATCTTACTGACCCCAAACTTTTGAACAGTAGTGTACATAGAGATCAATCGATCTCTATCTATTGATATAAACAGACAATTTAAGATGTTATTACGAACTGATGTGCAGATTTGTACCTTAAAAGCCTGTATCAACATGTAGATCACTCCAGGAGAGCCATGACACCAGTGCACCAGAAGATCCCGAGAATCTCCGACCCACGGTGGGTAATTGCCTGATGGAAACCTTAGCTGACACATGTAGTTCACACTGGGTTTGACTAGATGGTAAACTCTGTCCTCGCCAACCACAAAGCCAGGCTATGGGGGGAAAGATTGCTTGCTTCAGCCATAGTGGTAAAGTTATTTCCCTAAATTTGTTGCTTTCTCAATCAATAAGGTACAGTGAGTGATTGAGTTCACCTGCATCAGGTAGTAGTAGATCCCTGACAGGCCATGAGCGGCACCCACATACTCCTCCTGATACCACTCATACATGAGAGGGGTTTGCTCCTGGATCTTGTTCTTCTGAGACAGATTCTGTCCTGAATCCAGCACTGCATCACAGATCTGAAATAAACGCATGATCAGGTCAAATAGCGAATCAAAGGCAAAACGTGCTTTCCCAATGCATTTAATTTCCATAAAGTGACATATTTCTAAATATGTATAAAATATGATACATTAAAATGATGTATGACCTTATTTATATATTAAGGAATGTTAACTGGCCAATATTTAGAAACTGTCAGACATTTATATGTTAACTGTCAATTGTCAGTTCCAAAATATATAACCTCATTCAAAAGTTTGGTGACTGTACATTTTTAATGATTTTTAAAATACAGTAAAAACAGTAATATTGCGAAATATTACTACAATTTAAAATGTTTTCTATTTGAATATATTTCAAAATGTAATTTATGCCTGTGATGAAAAGCTACATTTTCAGCATCTCTACTTTAGTCTTTAGTGTCACATGATCCTTCAGAAATTATTTTAATATGCTGATTTGGGCTGAGGAGTGTGTGAACAGGTATGATGTTGTTTGACCCTGCTCCACCTCCATCTTTTTGTATGCTGAGTCAGTGACGTCACTCTTATCTAAATATATAATCAAATTAAAATGAATTATATAATAATTTTTGTCTGGTACTAAGTTATTCAAAGATATTAAAAAATTTAAGGGGGATAAAAAAAAAATATATATATATATATTAGTTTGTTTTTTTTTTGTTTTTTTATTATTTTTCTACAGGTCCACAAGGGGTCTTCTGACTTTGTCTTGCAGTTTTCTTTTCCTATAAATCTAAAATGGCATTGCCTTGGCATTACAAATGACTTTTATTATTATTTAAAACAAAAAAATGCTTCACTGCTAATCTTTCTTTTATTTGTTTGTTTAAATAATTTTAGTCTTTTAATAAGACATATACTGATTAAAAACAATTACACACACACACACACACACACACACACACACACACACACATATATGTGCATTTATTAAAAATAACCATTAAATCATTAAAAATGTATTAAAATCATTGTCCCTCATTTAATATATTTTTGAATAAGCAAAAGATGCATAAAAGTGCTGCACAGGGAGTAAAATCCATATCTTGGTAGAGTCGGTACTCTTTGGTTGTGGGATAATTCAACTCTTGAAAAACATATCAATCCAAGGCACTTGAAAATTTAAGGGGGAAAAAATCCTTTATTTAATCATGGTTTAAATATTAAAAGCAAGTATCAAATGTCCATACACCAAAGTGTTGCAGGTAATGAGCCTTCATCAGGGTGTGAACAACAAAAACAGTCGGCTGGTGTATGGACATTTGATACTTGCTTTTAATATTTAAGCCATGATTAAATAAAGGCTTATATATAAGAAAACTGCAAGACAAAGTCAGAAGACCCCTTGTGGACCTGTAGAAAAATAATAAAAAAACAAAAAAAAAACAAACTAATATATATATATATATTTTTTTTTTATCCCCCTTAAATTTTTTAATATCTTTGAATAACTTAGTACCAGACAAAAATTATTATATAATTCATTTTAATTTGATTATATATTTAGATAAGAGTGACGTCACTGACTCAGCATACAAAAAGATGGAGGTGGAGCAGGGTCAAACAACATCATACCTGTTCACACACTCCTCAGCCTCATGAGGTTTCTGGAGTCGATGATAGACCACCGCAGCAACAGCCAGCGGCCCTGCATCCCCACACAGGAAAGTCACCCAGCGCTGGGTTAAACTCCTCAGACTGTGGCTGACATAGTCCAGAGCCTTCTGGAGGAAAGAGAAGTCTCCAAAGATGCTGTGGAGATGCAGGTAGAGCAGGGCAATGCCTGCAGTTGGGGGAGGAGGGTCTTAGCAATGTGGGCCAAGTAGTTTTATGACATTCAACCATGAACATGAGTAGTATAAATGTAATAATTATACATTTTTTACTGTGCATCCCTTAAAGGGATAGTACACACAAAAATGAAAATTCTGTCATCATTTACTCGCCCAGTATGACTTACTTTCTTTTGCTGAACATATGCTGATTTGGTGCTCAAGAAACATTTCTAATTATTATCAATGTAAACTTCAAAAGATTTATTTGAAACTTTTGTATCATTATGTTTTACTATCACTTTTAAATTTGGATACATTTTATTCCTTGCTGAATAGAAGCATTAATTTCTATCAAAAAATATCACTGGCACCAAAGTTTGAATGGTGTATACTAGTCATCTGGCCTGCTTTCTATATTTCATTACCAGTCATTGAAAAAAAAAAAACATCTTTTTAACAGTAGAAATAATGTAGGGCTTAGTTTTTTTCCATTGGGATTGGATTATGAAGGTTGGTCTACAATATTATCTTTTGTTTTTGTATATAAACAAATATTTTGGATATATTATTTTTCACTGTCTGCATGTTCTTGGTTACATCAGCACATGACAGAAGCAGTTTCAGAGACTGATAAATATATTACATTTTAATGAGAAACTCTTTTTTTTTTCAATAAGACCAGGGGCATTTAGAAAGGGTAGATTTTGATCATGTTAAGTACAACATATATTCTTCATCATATGTAACTCATTCTAGTCATGTATCCTGTTACAATATGAGGTCATGGGCTTTTGGTCAGGTCTGAGGCCAAATGAATAGTGACTGACCTGTTGAATGTATTGAATGGGGATCTTCTCCTGCTGAAATTGCTGGTTAATGAAGATGAGGGAGTAAAGGTAGCCCACTCTGCCATAGAGCAGCTCATCAGGAAGCCTGCCATTCCCCTGCACTACTGACTGGTGAAAATGCAACAGCCTGGAAACATTCAAGCAAACAGATCACAATAAGTTCCCATGGGAATGAAACCCTGTCAAGACTGAGAAAGAGAAACAGGAAACAGAAAGTGCTGAGCTGCCCTACAGACCAAGAAATCTTCCACATTTCACCCTCGTTCTGGAATCTTAGTATGAGATTTCTAATGAACACCAGCTCTTGGGAGAATTCCAGCACAATTTCATTAAAGTAGTTATAAGTCCTAAACAAGCCAGCAATCCAAAATAAATTAGATTCAATGTGGACAGCCGACAACAAACACTACATTACGATAGTTGTTCCATAATTTCTATTTTTGGATGAAAATAAATGATATTTAATTTTCCTACATGATTTAAATAATCTAAATTCCCCATAGTAATCAACTTTACATGGGTCAGTGACAAACGGAACTGTAAACAAAAAAATAAGATATTTTAAAGAATGTTGGTAACTAAACAGTTTCATTTCCCATTCACTTCAATTGTATGGACAAAAATACAACGGAAGTCAATGGGAAATGAAACTGTTTAGTTACCAACATTCTTTAAAATATCTTATTTTTTGTTCAGCAAAAGAAAGAAGGAAAGAAGAAAGGGTGTACTATACCTTTAAGGGATGCACAGTAAAACATGTATTATTACATTTATACTACTCATGTTCATGTTATCAACATCCTTCAAAATATCTTCTTTTGTGTTCAGCAGAAAGAAAAAAAAATATGCATACAGGTTTGAAATGACATGAGGATGAGTAAATTATGACTATCCCTTTAAGCAAACCCATCTACAGAGGCTGCTTTTAATGACGCTTTGCCATACACAGTTTACCAGAATTTGCATTTATTCAGTTTCAACTTTCAATAAACCTATATGTGTATTCTCACCTGCCCAGCCAGTGTAGCCAGTACAGTCTCTGGGGTCAGCGTTCTTCAGTCCATTCTCCATGACCGCCAGAAGCTCACTGATCTTGCTGCTTATACAGTTGGCAAAATGCTGGGTCAACTGCTCAGAGCAAAAAATTCATAAATAAGATGTGACGATGAATACAAGTATGAAAGCACAATGTAATTCAGTGAAGGTAATGAAGTGAAGTGACGTGGCCCATACTCGGAATTAGTGCTCTGCATTTATCCCATCCAAAGTGCACACACACAGCAGGCGCCCAGGGAGCAGTTGGGGGTTCGGTGCCTTGCTCAAGGGCACCTCAGTCGTGGTATTGAAGGTGGAAGAGAGCACTGTACATTCACTTCCCCCACCTACAATCCCTGCCGGTACGAGACTCGCACCCGCAACCTTTGGGTTACGAGTCCGACTCTCTAACCATTAGGCCACGACTTCCCCAAATGTTTATTATATCCATATACTACGGTACTCCAATAATGTCTAAGAATAGCATATTATTTGCAAACTACAAAAAGGGATCCCATGTCATGTTTTGGAATCACTCACATTTCCCTGCATGTCAAAAAAGTCTTGTGCACATCCAGGCCCAGTGTAATCTGGGTAGGGATTCTTAAAAGCTCGTTGTTCAGACATTTTTCAGAGTGACCTGAAATGAAGCGCATAACACAAGAGGAGATTATAAAACTGCCGAGAACAGATGCAATACATACTGGTTGTTTGGTTGTACTTGTTTTTTGTTTTTTTCATTTAGGCCATAGGCACATTAGAATATTGTAAGAATATTGTCGTTTGGACTAACGTTATCACATGCGCTTTCTAACATCTTGGGAATCAGAGGAGCATTTGAATTTTAAATTCGAACATTTGATCATGATAGGTGCGTTCGAATGTTCGAATCTAACGTTTAGGGAATCATTTGAGCACTGAACTGAACATTTTGGGCATTCGTAAGCCTTTCGCATGAATACGCACAGGCCCAATGTCGCGTTACGTTACACACTAGTAAAATGGTGACTATTCTGTCTATACTTAGTTGTTTTATAAATCTGCAAACAATTTATTTGTGAATAATGTTTGGGGAAATGAAGGAACACAAGCCCCCTTCTGCACCGTCTTGCGATAAGATGCTAACTTGTGTCAAAAGAACATAATACAAATATATAGCTTATAAATCTGCAGTACGTGTTTCTAGTCACACGCAAATAATGCTAAATAACTTTTAAAACAACGTTTATTATTTATAACAAAGAACATACCGCTGATAGTGCTGCACTTCTCGTCTCATCGCAGGACGGTCTGTTTGTGATCGACTCACTGCAGCCATCTAGTGTTGAGGCGGTTCTTCTTCCTCTTCTTTAGTTTTTTGGCGCATAGCAATCTTAATGTATAGCGCCACCTATACAGGAGGTAGGGTGTTAACTACTTTACTACACTTTAGATAAAAAAAAGGTCAGAATGAGATGATACTGGCTTTAGTTTACAGTTACAGTTTTTCTCAGTCGCTTTGGTGCATTTCTCACATCACATATTCAGTGTCTTGTACTCAGTTACCTCACTAAATACAGTAATGTGTAACTTTACTGTATTTTTCAAATGGCTGTGCAAATAGTATATAGTGCTGTCTTGAGCATTTTCAGGTAGTGTCACCAAGATCTGACTTTTTTGCATTGGAAAACATTGACAGAGTAAACTGTCATAATGAAAACATGACAAAGCCATTTGACTATCTTGTTCATAAACAATGGTGTCAGGACTTTTCATCTTGATGACACTGACACTTTCATTGACATGAATACTTGCTTTTGAGGAATGACCTATCCATTTTGAGCAAGTGACACGCTTTTGCAGGTTATCAACTAGGTTTTGCAGTTTGTACTAATTGTTTTGAGAACTGCATTAACTGTTGTGAAAATGTAAATAGTGATGTGAGAAATGCACCAAAGCGACTGAGAAAAACTAAGATAGAATTTTTTTTCTACCAAGGTTAAACTTTAAAAATGTATTAATAATAGATGTTATTTTAACTTATATTATGACTGTGATTCTCAATACGAATTTAAGAATGGAAAATATTTAAGAATAACAACCGAGACTAGATAAAAAAAGTTCATCAAGACAAACTTTAAAGTTGGCTTGAGAAAGCCGGACCAGAAAGTTTGAAAAGTTAAAGTTTAAGAAGTTTAAAAAAGTTTTAAGTTTGATGGTTTTCAGTCTGAAATAGTTTGACGTTTAAAGTAAGCTTAAAATTTGAATGTTTTGAAGGCAATACAGTCTGTCAGAGATAGATAGATAGATAGATAGATAGATAGATAGATGCTAAGGACCTCACAGTGATTGCTAGGGTATTCTAGGTGGTTGCTAGGGTACTTGGAGTGGTTGCTATGACGGTTGCTTGGCTAACTGTGGTGGTTGGTAGGGTGTTGCTAGGGTACTTGGGGTGGTTGCTAAGGCGGTTGCCAGGGTACCTGGGGCGGTTGCTAGAGAGTAGCTATGCGGTTGCTAAGGTACCTGGGGTGGTTGCTAAGGTGTTGCTATCTGGTTGCTAGGGTACCCGGAGTGGTTGCTAGGGTGTTGCTATGTGGTTGCTAGAGTACTGAGGGTGGTTGCTAGGTTGATTTGGCTAGTTGCTAGAGTGTTGCTATAAAGATAGATAGATAGATAGATAGATAGATAGATAGATAGATAGATAGATAGACAGACAGATAGATAGTTAGATAGATTGATTGATTGAATTTTTACAGTTGGAGTTTGAATAGTTTTGGCTCATTTGAACATTCCGTCAATGTAAGTCTATGGAATTTTTATGATTTTTAATCTTCATTTGAAAATCGTAAGTCTGATCAGTTAGAAAAGATATAGCAACTCGAGTCAGATCAGTCTGAAGATCTGGGCTGAGTTTGGAGTTTGTAGAGTTAAAGCTCTAGGAGGAGTTAGAGTCAGAAATTTTAGTCTCAGAAGAATAATAATAACTGTAAGTTTAAGTCGAATTTCAGTATTGTTGTCATAGTGATGGAGCTCTGATAGACCGATGTTCAGTAATGCATCTGACTCAAGAAAACATATGCATGTTTCATGTTATCCAAACTTTCTATGACCTTTCCAGTTCTTTGATTTTCAAAACTCATTGAATACATCTAAACAATTGTTAGTGTTTGAATGTCTCAAATACGGCAGCCCCGCCACCCCCCCAAAAAAATCAGATTTGAATGCAACCTTAAAGAGAAAATTCGCACAATTTTTTTTTACTGTTTTGCATTATTACACATTATTTTTCCTATTTAATAGTGTAAAGCTGCTTTGACACAATCTGTATTGTTAAAAGCGCTATATAAATAAAGGTGACTTGACTTGTCTTTTTGTCAATAAGAAGCTTTTGATGTGGAATATCCTCAGTGCTTTTACCTGACAGGTCACTTGATCATTAAATGATGGAGATGCATATAGAGCTGACAATAAACAATGTTTTCCATCATGCGTGCAGCATGACTTTTACAATGTTTATATTTTTCTACTGCAAAATCTCCATGTGGTCCTTTAATGTAATGTGATCCACTTTTTCTTAATTAACCTGTAGGAATGAGAAAAGAACAAGTGAGATCTGTTAAATATCTCAATTACATAACTTTTATATTGCTAGTAATATTTCAAAATGAACACTTACTGGACTGAAGCAACTTAGGTTTACTTTACTAGCCATACATAATTTTTTTGAAAAATCATGTTAAAATGTGAGAATCAAATATGATCATCAGGCTTGTGAGGAATGTTTATTTTTTTTCATCTCCCAATCATCATTGTATTGCATTCCATTATATGCTTTGCCCCCTACAATAAAAAAAAACTACAGAGCTTTGATCATAAAACTAAGCATTTAAATATCATCTTACTAAGACATATTATAAAGATATACAGAGTGACAACTGATATTTATATGCATTTTATGTAAATAGTCTGCTATTTTATTATATTATTATTATTATTAAAGTTTGGGTATTTGGATAAAATGCACGTTTTTTTTCCTCTTCTCCTATCATACTATAGAACCCAAATATGAAAACCAACAAAAACACATGCAATTTTTAAATCTTTGCCTAAAAGTACAATATGATAAAAATGTGATTTTTTTGGACTATAACTTCATAACCGTCTTTCTCATAAGCTATAAAGAGCAACATCTGAGCAACAACATTTACTTCTGGGCAATCAAGTATAGACTAAATATGAGCAGCATAAGCACAAAAAACTCACAATATTGTCAACGACAATGTCACGGGACTGGCGCATTACATGGGCAAAGGCACTAGAGAGCTTTCCCGATGTGCTCAATCCTCAACATCCAAACCTCCACCAAATTGAGTTATGAAAATTTGATCAGAACGTTAATGCAAAAATGGCCCAGTACAGTCCACTCCCACCACTGCCAACAATGTGGATAATCAGACTGCCACTCTCCTACTTAATAGAAGCATGGCAGGAACTCAGTCTGAATACTGATCTCCTCTCTATTCTTCACTAACCCTCAAAGGACAAAGTTCAGCCCCGTTCTTTGTGCGTAACGACCTACAATACGGCACGTGGGTTTAACAAAGAATAGTTTAGTTATGTTTGTGATTACGGTGTCGTTGTTTGAGCGGGTGGGTGGTCATTATGCTTGAATATGTACAGGATGATTACTGTTGGTGTCATTGGCTAACTCCAGCTCTGTGAATGACTACGCTGTATGGAATTTGTAGTCTGAACAATGGCTTTTCTCTGGTGGCATTCACCTGAATAATTACTGTGCAGTTTGGAAACAATGGCTAGATCTAAGAGGTAATTGCACAGGTATATAATCCCTGTCTCTCACCACTCAGAAAAGTTTTAAATATCCAATAGACGCACTTGGAGATGAATATTAAGTGTTTTGAAAAGCCCTAAGTGTGTGTCCCTTCAAACAAAGGATTTGGATTTGAAAGCTAGACATGAATTACATTAAGAGGATGAAAATCAGACTTTTCTTATTCTTTTTCTCCAGTGTATGTCCGCTTGGTTGTTAAGTGAGTGGAATTACAAATCATTCTGAATACAGTTATAATTTTTTTTTGAAAGAACAAAGACAATTCTAAGATTGTTGTAAGACAAATCAAATATCTTTTGAGATGATTATGATTACGACCGGCCATTAAACTTTTCACATTTGAATTTTAATTCTCAATTTTAATCATTTCACCTGTATAAAACAATCAGCCTGACAAACTCTACTTATTACAGTAATTTTCACTACAGTTCATAACTGTGAGGCAAGATGACGCGTCTGCATTTTTTTAATTGAAATAAAGCAAAAATAAAATAAAACATAGACCTAAATATTAGATGAAAACTTAAAGGGATAGGTCACCCAAAAAAATTAAAATTCTGTTATTAATCGCTCACCCTCATGTCCTTCCAAACCTGTAAAACCTTCGTTCATCTTTGGAATACAAATTAAGATATTTTTGATGAATTTCGAGAGCTTTCTGACCCTCCATAGATAGCAACGCAACTGAAATGTTCCCAGGCCCAGAAATGTAGTAAGGACATCGTTAAAACTGTCCATGTGACATCAGTGGTTCAACCGTAATTTTTCAAAGCTATGATAATTTTTTTGTGTGCAAAGAAAACAAAAATAACGAGTAAAGGCCTTTCCACACTGAGTGTGAAAAAGCTAAACGAATATCGGACGCGATGACGTGCTGGAATAAAGCAAGATTTCTATGGATGCTTCCACATAGACCGCGAACATTCGCGCACCGAAAATGCGAATGTTTCTTTTTTTTTGAACCAGTCAGACGAATCTTTTCAGTTTTGCAAAGCGAAAACACGGGCCGTCCAATAAGATTTGAGCATTACATCACGTGCCCGGAGCAGTTGCTGTTGCACAAAAAGGCAAGAGTGGTGACGTTGTTTCGAAAACCAGTTTAAACTACTGTAACACAGAAGAAGAGTATCCAGAGAGAGAAGAGAGTGGATGAGGAGTTTTTGTTATCTTTGGTATCTGAGAACAGATTTATTCTCACATGTTCTCAATATAATTTCTATTAATTATCCACTGAATTATGTGATCTGGAGTGTCCGTTTTCTTCCACGTGCGCGAGTGTTATGAGTCAGAGTGCATTCACTCTATATCTTCCATGTTAATAAAATCAATATCAAAAATAAAGGTTTTTACTAGTAAGAATTGTATTTCTGATATGTGAAATTGGAATTTCAACTAGTAAGAAATTAATTCTTGATATCAACAATTGATTTTGAATGGCAGCCTATGGTGACATTTAACTAGTGAAAATACAGTTACAGATATCAAGAATTATAGT